GACATGGGCATGGGCAAGGACTTCATGTCTAAAACACCAAAAGCAACGGCAGCAAAAGCCAAAATTGACAAATGGGATCTCATTAAACTAAAGAGCTTCTGCACAGTAAAAAGAAACTACCATCAGAGTGAACAGGCAACCTACAGAATGGGAGAAAATTTTTGCAATCTACTCATCTGACAAAGGCCTAATATCCAGAACCTATAAAGAACTCAATCAAATTTACAAGAAAAAAACAAACAACCCCATCAAAAAGTGGGCAAAGGATATGAACAGACATTTCTCAAAAGAAGACATTCATACAGCCAACAGACACATGAAAAAATGCTCATCATGACTGGCCATCAGAGAAATGCAAATCAAAACTACAATGAGATACCATCTCACACCAGTCAGAATGGCGATCATTAAAAAGTCAGGAAACAACAGGTGCTGGAGAGGATGTGGAGAAATAGAACACTTTTACACTGTTGGTGGGACTCTAAACTAGTTCAACCATTGTAGAAAACAGTGTGACGATTCCTTAAGGATCTAGAACTAGAAATACCATTTGACCTAGCCATCCTATTACTGGGTATATACCCAAAGGATTATAAGTCATGCTGCTAAAAAGACACATGCACATGTATGTTTATTGCAACAAAGACTTAGAATCAACCCAAATGTCCATCAGTGACAGACTGGATTAGGAAAATGTGGCACATATACACCATGGAATACTATGTAGCCATAAAAAAGGATGAGTTCGTGTCCTTTGTAGGGACATGGATGCAGCTGGAATCCATCATTCTCAGCAAACTATGGTAAGAACAGAAAACCAAATACCACATGTTCTCACTCATAGGTGGGAATTGAACAATGAGATCACCTGGACGCAGGAAGGGGAGCATCACACACAGGTTCCTATTGTGGGGAGGGGGTAGGGGTGAGGGATAGCATTAGGAGATATACCTAATGTAAACGACGAGTTAATGGGTGCAGCACACCAACATGGCACATGTATACATATGTAACAAATCTGCACGTTGTGCACATGTACCCTAGAACTTAAAAAAAAAAAAATACTGTTTTTAAAAGACTGCTTTAGAATAAATGATGCAGAAAATCTTTTGTTACACTGGTCTTAATGCTACTCCTCAGCTCTCTAGTGGTAGATGGGGATAGGCTTGTTAAGGGCAAAACTCTTGCCTATTCTGATAAATCTCTTATTTTTGTTAGTGCTAATGGGGACATCAACATTAAGTTCCTTAATGGAATGCTGTTTTTCCAAATTTTAGAATAAACTACTGACTGTCATTATGGATCATTATTAACATGATCTTTATTCTAATATTACATTTTACAGTGTTTCAAGGTTAGGGTCTTTCCCCAGTGAAGGACTTCAGTCTAAGCGTGTGCATACATGTTAAACAAGAATCAGTGAGTTGGGGAATGTCAGTCTTGCATAGTTTCTTAAGAACTCAAAAAAAATGTGGTAAGTAAAAATAAAGGGGAAGCAGGAAGGAAGGAAAGAAAGAAGAAGCAGGCCTCATTTTTGCCATTTACACCTTGTAAAAGAGGGGTTATGTTATTTTTAGATTTAAGAGGATCTTTCCAAAGCATCCCAAGGGTACTCAGTAATGATGCTTGGGTTTCTCTGATTGCTGGTAAGTTATGGAGTAGGTGCATGGTTCACTGAAAGGAAGGGAAGAAGGATAGCATCCCAGTGACAAAATGGAAGAAATGTCAATGGCCAGAAAAGAAGTTACTAAAAGATGGCATTTAGGAAAGGCAGAATGGGGTTTGGGGTTCAGCAGGAACCATATGATGAGTACTTTGTAAATGGCATTTCATTTAATTTTCAGAAGAACCTTATGAAGTCAATATTATTCCTACTTTATCATTGGGAAAACCAAGTATACAGATACTAGCTAATGGTCTCAGACTACAGAACTGATTAGTAGAAAGAGCTAGGACTTGAATCCAGAGCTGTTTTTCTTCAAAGTCCGTATTCTCTTTACCATGGTCGGGTTTGGAAGCTTTAGAAAAACTCACATTTTATCCTTGAATTTTAATCTGCTAAATCTAAGATCACTCTCAGCCAATGCATACAAGATTGCGTACCTGACTATGGGTCATTTTAAGTGGATTCTCCCGTCAACTCCTTTCTTCTTCCTGATATTGTAGACTCCAGAGACATCCCAAAAAAGCCTAAACACAGTTTTACAAAGTGGACCCATTCCTTTCCAAATAATATCTGTCTCTAAACATCTCAGGTTACCTAAGGGCATACATACTAGTGATGATTATTTTGGAAAATTTTCTACTCCAGCAGTGTGTTTTTCAGTTATGCAATAGAAACTTTATGATACTGATGATGAAACACCTGGTTCAAAATGTTCAGTTGATACAGTTATCATTACTTTATGTTCTTACACTATTATAGTGTTAACAATTCTGCCTGGTTCTTCAAATTTCATTCACCTCTGCACAAACTGTAGTGCTAGCTAATTATTATCTCACAAGTTCCAATAATCAGAGCAAAAGAAGATTCCAGCTCATGGGCAAAAAAAAATCAATTGAGGTGCTTTCTAAACTTTTTATTATCTTCCTTACCTGTGGTTATATGCCATCTTTCTTTCCTAATGTCATCTGTATCTTCTCTGATTCTTGATCTTTTCTAGATTTATTTCTTGATCTTTCCAGAGAACACATTTTTTTCTTTTATTGATCAAGTCTCCTTTTTCATTTTTTTTTTTGCTTTTTCAGTTTCCTACTTTATTATTTTCTGCTGTTAGCTTTATTAGTTAACATAATTATTTCATAATTTTTTTCTAAATCTCTTTGTACATTGTTTTGCAATAAAGACATTTAGTGTATAATTTCATAGAATATTTGGCTTTTCTATATTCTCTCTATTTTATTATGTAGGATTTTTGTTTTTCTTCTGTTCCTAAAGAGTTTGTAATTTTCCCATTTGTGCTTTTTTATACAGATTCAAAGCATCTTTAAATTTCCATAGTATATCAATCAGGATAAATGTTTGTTGTTAATCTTATCCTTATTGTATTTTGATGGATGATGTGGTCTGTATGATTTCTGCCTTTTAAAATGTGTTGACCTAAGCCTGGGCAACAAAATGAGACCCCATCTCTACAAGGAATTTAGAAAATAGCTGGGTGTGGTGGCACGTGCCTGTAGTCTCACCTACACAGGAGGCTGAGGTGGGAGGATCACTTGAGCTCAGGAGGCTGAGATTGTAGTGAACTGTGACCATGCCTCTGCACTCCAATCTGGGCGACAGAGTGAGCCAGGTCTCCAATATAAAAATAAAAATAAAAGTGTTGACCTATAGTTTGTGATCTAGTTAAGTTTTGAGAATATTCTATAGCTGTATGGAAAACATGGAATATTTATTCTCCATTTGGAGTTGCTAAGATATTCATAAAGGTGTTCCTGTGTGTGGTTATAATACGTGTGTGTTATTTCAGATTATTTTTAATGGTCTGAATACATCTGCCAGCTGTACCAGTTTCCCCCAACCTCCAGTTGGAGTAGTTGCAAGGTCTCACATCCATTTCACAAACCTTTGCCAACAAGGTCTATTTCTATATTTCCACAAATGTGCAATCACAGTGTGGAGGGTGGAGTGTCACAACCAAGGGAGGGAAAATAGATAATGAAAAATAAGATTTACCAGTGTAAATAGAATTGGCGTCACTACAGATGGACTTGGTAGCCCCGGCAAAGTCGTTTCTTAGGGTTTCTATTTCCTGATCTACATGCCCTGAGTGGTCATATCTACCCTGCCAGCATTGCAAGGTGTGTCGGGAGAAGCCAAGAGATAAGGAATGTGATAAAGAAATAAATAACACTAACAGTGGTTGCTGCTATTTAGACACGGGAGCAGAAGGAAATGATAACTATGTAAAATGGCTAACAGGGACTCCAAGCAGGTGCTCTGTTTCTATTGGTTCCCTTCCCTGCCCCCATCTACCTTTAGCTTCCTCTGGGGACATCCTCCCTCCTGCATGGAGATACCACCGCCCAATAACGTTTGAGCCTCCCTCTTGGTAGCCCTGGAAGTGTGGAATCCGCTGAAAGCGCGTTGAGGATGAGCAGAGACCTGCCAGCAGCCAAAATTCGCGCTTTAGCACTATCAGCCCTGGCCGAGCATGTGCAGTGTCTCCTCCTTCGGCAGTGGGGGCTGATGGGCAGATACTGCCCAAATGCTCATTCATCAGAAGAGGCTTTCGCTCCCGGTCTCCCCTGGGCCTCGAGCAGAAAGCGTCTCCGCCACGGAGATACAGAGCTGGGAGCCTTCTAGGTCCTCCGCCACTCTCAGCAAGCCCTGCTCTCGATGGAGAGGAGATCGCTGGGTGATGGATGTGGGCTTCCAGGGAAGGTGCTCGCGCTGGTTCCGAGCCCTCCGGGGAAGATATTCGAGCGCGGAGCGTAAGCGCAGGGCACGCCAGCCCGGGGGCCGCGGAAGCAGGCGCTGCGCGTCTCTGCACCACCGGGCCGCCTCCCAGCCCTCTTTCCCCAGTTTGCCCTGCTGCCGCAGTCCGGGCCCAGATTAATTATCTGCACTTGTGAGTGGGCACACACACAAGTTCTCCGGACACGATCCTTTCATCTGTTTCCCCGGCGGAGTCCACCTTTTTAAAGATTAACCTCCCAGCTACCGCGGGCAAGGGGGCAGGATGCGAGTGAGGCGGGGAGGGGCGTTTCACACGTTCAGAGGCACCAAAATTAGCTGCCAGTGCTAAAAGGCTTTGTTTTCTTCGGTTTTTGACAAACAAATGAGGTGGGATGCTTGCTTGGCCGCCCGCTGCCCCAGCCCGAGCCCTTGGCTCACTTAGCAGCCTGATGCCGACTTTCAGACGCAGTCCTGTTCTGCTTACACCAGGGCTTCTTCGCCCCCTTGCCGAAGTCTGCAGCCCGGTGGATGCTGGGCGCGGGCTTTCCCTGGGCGCTTTAACGCGGCTTAGGCTAAAGCCCCAGAGCTCCCACCTTCTCACCTCCTGTTTATCGGCCCGCCCCTCTACCACAGCCAAAGGACGTGCCCCTTCAGTAGTGTCGGGGATCCCAGCCCCAGCGCGGGGGAGGGCGCCTCCCTATCCCCTCCTCCCCGTCGCCGCCTCGGCTCGGGGTTTTACTGCAGCAGCCGGAGGTGACAGCGACGCCTCAGCCGCCTCTGTTGCTCTCGGAGCCCCTGCTTCCCCTGCACTGGGAAAGCGCCCCCTCCCGAGAGGCTTGTCTCTGGAGAAGTGCGAACGAGCTGCAGAAAACCAAATTTTAAAATGTAGAAGTCGTTGAGCTGCATTCCTCCAAGGACCAGTCTGATCGCCCAGGACTGAGAGTGGCAGCGTTTGAGAAGTTGGGACCATAGAGCAAGGGGGGGAGGGGAGTGTTGCAGCAGGCATTCTCTTCTGGAAGGAGTCGCTGGGAGCAGTGCGGTTGGACACAAGTTTGCGTAGGAGTGTTTTCCTTTTGTCAATAATTAATCACCGGAATTAGCCGGGTAGAATTTGAGTTTTAGCAATAGTCCTGAGGGCGGGGCCGAACACCTAACTCCGGGAGGCTCCCAGGCGCCCGGCACAGTGGGAAGCTCGCAGCAGCTGGGGAGGAGCCAAAGCCTCGGCGCTCACCTAAGCCGCAGGGAGATACACCCAACTAGGAGGTAAGCATCTTCCAAAATACCTACTTGAACTGTTAAGTAGCTTTAGTAGGATAGAATTCCTGTCTCTATAGGAGAAAAAATTAATACTGAGCTTTAATGCAATTTATCAGTTTATTATTTAACTGCATTACAATTTTCAGAATTGATGGATTTTTCCATTTACCTTTCACTATGTGGGAAACTAAGATGTTTCACTCAATAGAAGCCAAACTTTAACACTGAAACTTTCCAAACTAAAAGAAGAGAAAATTACTTTGCTATTTTCACTATTTACCTTTGTGTAGTCCATTAACTACTCAGGAAAATATCATTGGGATGTGCTTGGTTTCCTTCTTAAATATTCATCTTTACCTGGTTCCATGCTCTTATACAATCCCTCTCTGCCCATAAGCTACTTAAACTACTGTACTTTAGGCAATAGTACACACAAGTCACCTGCCAAAAAGTGAAGAATTTCCAACAAGGAATACATTTTAACATTCTCTTGTAAGTATTAAGCGGTATGTATTTTCTCAAAGATACTTAAGTGATCCTTTATAAGTAACCAAACTTCTTCACCAAAAGACAGCCAGCTAGAGTTAGCTGAATAGTTACCTTTGCCGTGGGGATGGTGAAGGTGGGGAAATGTTTAGAGAAGTGTTTTAAATATGAGTTGGACTCCAGATTTGTTTCAACTAAAGTGACATTCAGCTGGTTGGCAATTCACATATGATCCCAGTGCATAATCAGATAAGGAGTTTGAAGAATTGTTAAAAGTAAGACTTAGCCCCCAAAGTCCAAATAACTGCATCAGGGGAGTTGGGAAAGTTGGTTTTCAAAAATAGTTTGTGGTGCAGTACTTATTTTGAATTAGACAAAAATTAGAAAATACATGGTCATTTTTGCTAGTGAAATTTTAAAATGTATACACAAAAATGTTGAATTTTTAATAACTTGATTTCCACATCTGAATTATTCCTATGCTGTTTAAAACAGGTCATTTTGGTGACTTTTTCAATGACTGTGATGGCTTTATACACAGATAACTAGACCAAAACCAACAAGCTGTAGTATGAAATGCACTGTCACTCTCGTTATTCAGATTTTTTTTACAACTGTTTAATGGCAATAAGTTAAAAATTATTTGTCAAAACATGGACATTCTAGAATTTGACTAGATTTGAAGTTGAAAGTCAATTTGAAGTTGAAAGTCAACCAGTCCTCAACTCTCATTGGTTTTCTTAATTCACTGTAAATTTGCAAATACTTTATAAAAACTACCCTTTGTAATTATACAGCAATTCTATCTCTACTATGCTAATTATAAAGAGAGTTTTACCACTATTTTACCACCAAGTATAAAAGAAACAAAAGATTCATTTCATAAAAAATGATCCAAACGGGACTCACTTCCAGAATGGTGATGTGAAGAGCTTTTCAAATCCACTCCCTAAAAACAACAATAACTAGTGAAAATTATAGATAAATAACCATTTAAAGTTCCTGGAAATTGTCCTGAGAACATATAGCATGAAGAAAATATATATTCAAGACAATCTCTTATATTTCAGTAAGAACTGCAAACAATTGTGACGCTTGAACCACAATATGTATCCCCGCCCTCTCCCATTGAGTGTGATGATGTTCCACTATGGATGGGTGCAGCCAATAACACAGGGCCCCCTCTCAACCTAGACTCTTGTCTACAGTATACCCTGAGAGAAGGAGACTACCAGCATTACTCATCATCCCCAGCTTTGAGTTTCAGAGCTCTATTCTAGATGAGAGCAACTGAGAGGTCTGAGACTCTCTTCCTCCAACCATCCTCCACTCTTAAGGCAGAGAATGAAGAACTCAACAACAAAAACACAAATAATCCATTTTAAAAGGGACAAAAAATTTGAATAGACATTTCTCCAAAGAGCAGGTACAAACAGCCAATTTACACATGAGAAGGTGTTTACTAGCCATTAGTGGTTAGGGAAATGAAAATCAAATCAAAACCACAATACGATCCCACTTCACACCAACCAGAATGCCTATCACCAAAAAACAAACAAACAAACAAACAAATAAAAATAGATAATAGCAAGTGTTAGTAAGATGTAGGGAAAATTGAACTGTCACATATTGCTGGTATTGCTGGTGGGGATGTAAAATGGTGCAATTGCTATGGAAGAGAGTTTGAGTGTTCCTCAAAAAGTTGAAAATAGAGTTACCACATAATCAAACAATTCCACTCCTAGGCATATATTCAACAGAACGGAAAACTTATGTCCATTCAAGAACTGTACACAAATGTTCATAGCAGCATTACTCATAACACCCAAAGAAGTTGATTGAAACAACCCAAGTTGTCTACTGAATGATGAATGGATAAATAAAATGTAGTATGGAATGAAATGACAAAATATTATGCAGCAATGAAAATCATGTGGCTGATACACACTACAACATGGGTGAACATTGAAGAGATTATGTTAAGTGAAAGAAGACCACATATTATATGATTTATTTACATAACATATCCACAATAGGCAAATCTACAGAGAAAGTAGATTAGTTGTTTCCTGAGACTGGAGTAGAAGGTAAGATTAGGGAGAAAAGGGGAGTGACTAAAGGGTACATGGTGTCTTCTTGGAGTGATGCAAATAGTCTAAAATTGACTGTCATGATGGTTGCAATACTGTAAATATACTAAAAACTGTTGAATTGTGTACTTTAAGTAGGTAAATTGTCAATATCTCAATAAAGTATCTCAATAAAGCTGGTTTTAAAAAATTTTCCAGAGTGTTAAAAGAACAAATGGGTTTAAAAGTTAGAGTTGATGAGTCCCCATGTACCATTTGACCAATAGTTTATGTGAGGCTTTTCCCCCAGTGACCACGTTAAAATATACGAAATATTTAAGAATTTCACAGGTGTCACACAACTATGTGATTCACATATGTTTACCTGCCTGCCCAAACTTTTCTCCATTTAGAATTAAGTCAGATGTCATTAGTACAGTCCTACAAAGAACTCACTTGCAATGCTCTATCTTTTTGAACTCATCCACTCGTTATATTAACCCAGGACCTGTGAGGCCACTTGTTCCTCCTACTTCTAGATATGTCTAGTCCTTTATCAGTGATTCAGGCCAGCGGTTGAGTTTGTTCAGGCCCACACTGGGTGACAGAGGAAGGTACCCAGATCTCAGCCAAAAGTGTACTTGCCTTCTACTCAGATTAGCCCAGTTCTGCCTACACTAGATTGGCCCTAAAAGCCAGAGAGTCTTGGGAAGAGGAAAAACTGGAGCAGCCACTGAAGTCTTCACAGCATACTAACATGTCATTGTCAGAAAGCACCTGCTGTGATTATGTCAACCTCAAATGCAGGAGACACTCCCAAATAATTAATATGTTCCTCTATTCATCTTTTATGTTTTGAGTTCCCAAAAGCTGCCTGATCCTGTACTAAGAACCACGAAATCAAATGATAATGTTTTGTACAGAAATAGAAATATAAAACTAGTGAGCCTCAGAGTGTCATGGGGGTGGCAAGCAGCCTCAGCCTTGCTGCCAGACAGTTATAAGTTCATTGAAACAAACCGTACCCTTAGCTTTAGGGATTCAAGTCTACTGGCTTCAGGAAACCTCAGGATTTTCCATTCCCACCAGCACAGGCTTATTCTTCCATGTGTATGTTTTTGAGGAGCATATCATGCTGATTCGTGTGGGTTTTGACTATCAAAGCTTTTGTAGAAGTCCACTGTAATATTTTGTCTAATTACAAGATTTATATAAAATAATTTTTAATGTTCAGCAACTTACTTTATTTTTTTTTATTTATTTATTTTGAGACAGAGTTTCACTCTTTTTGCCCAGGCTGGAGTGCAATGGTGTGATCTCAGCTCACTGTAACCTCCGCCTCCCAGGTTCAAGCGATTGTCCTGCCTCAGCCTCCCCAGTAGCTGGGATTGCAGGCGTCTGCCACCATGCCCGGCTAAATTTTTTTTTGTATTTTAGTAGAGATGGGGTTTCACTATGTTGGCCAGGCTGGTCTCAAACTCCTGCCATCAGGTGATCCACACACCTTGTCCTCCTAAAGTGCTAGGATTACAGGCATGAGCCACTGTGCCCAGCTCAGCCATTTGTTTATAAAATCAATACATGTATGAAAAAACTTGATTAGAGTTACTTTTAAAATATTGCTTTCATCAGAATTAATAATTCATTTATCCAACAGATAAATGAACTATGGCACACCTACCCTGTACCAGGTCACTTCTAGGCCCTGGATAAGTAATAAACGAAACAGACAAAAATTCCCAATATGTCAGACATTAATAATAGTAAGTAAATCACATAATGAAGATAAGGGCTCTGAAGAAACATAAAATGGAGAAAAGAATGAGGTACAATTTTAAATAGTGGGATCAGGCTAGGAATTAAGATGATGCAATTAGAAAAATGTAAAATCACATACAAACCTGGCCACTGTAACTCGCCAAAAAGA